CACCCCCCAAAAATTTTTAAAAAAAATTTTACCCCCCCCCCCCCCCCCCCCCCCCCCCATACAATCTTGCAATCTTTTTAAATTCACACTGAGTCAAGGAGAGTCTTTCTTCTTCTGAGACAAATAGTCATTAACTATAATGAATTTTGAACCTTAAATTCGCTTGGAATGTCGTTTCCGGGCGTCTGAGTCTCAAAATTTTCTTGTGGTGGTCACACGGCAGCAGTAAGACTCTATAGAGAGCACCACTGTAATGCGTAACAATTCACAAAGTTCTCCGGGGGGAGGAGGGTACCTTTACTGCCCGCTTGATTTGACGTTTGAAGCTATACGACCGTTTCCTTTTAAATGTCCTTGAAGTTTGAAAGATGATAAAGATATCAGTGAAGACAATTATAGCTAGTAGGAAAACAAAAATAATCCCGATAGATTTAAAATGGCTAGCGGGTCGTCAGCTTCTAGTTGATAATTATGGCTTGGGATATTAAATGACCAATATTTCCAGAATGTGATCGCGTGAGAAAGGGAGATAAACAGGTTTGAATGATTTAATAGTTATCTGCTAATGGAAACAAAGTTCTTTTTAGTTTGATGGAATTCACACAAACGATTGGTCCGATTGTTCCGACTGGCATCAGGGTAAGGAAAGTAAATACATATCGGTAGCTGCATCTTCACAATGCTAAAGATATTTCGAACTGCGTCTAATACCTTGACTGCAATAGCCACCTTCTTGTACTACTTCTTGTTTGTAAATGCAGCTATTTGAAAATCTTACTGTATACAGCCATTCATAGCCCTAGATTACAATCGCAGTCATTTTGTCTTTCTGTTGATGAAACTGATTGGCTCTATCCGGTAGCGTACAATCTTTAGAATTTACAAAGTATAATGAATTGAATTATTTCTAGATGTATAACCGCGTTACTTTAAGGGATTACAACAGGTTATCTCAAATTTTTTTATATAATCGAGGACATTGATAGCATCAATTTACACCAGTCCAATTTTCAGTCAGACGTCTGCGATCCCTGTAATTCTACAATACATGTATATGCTTTATTTGATTGCTTTACGCTGGTAAGAAAAGCTCTTTACAATAACTTTAAGCGTGATTAAGGTCAATAATCATTTTTCAGTCGACATAAAGCAATATATTTATGTAAATATCGACAATGTACTATAATTGTTATTGATATATGAATAGAATATAGATGATGTATTTTAAGCTAAATGTCTGTCTATAACATCTAATTGATTTCAGATATACAAATGTATATGACATTATTCATATCATACTTATTCATGTATCCGCTTTCTTAAAGGGGCAAAAGTGTGACAATTTAGAGGGTAGAATATTTATAACCATAGTCGTAATGAAGAGTTGGATAATTGAACGATGGGAGACGGGATGTAGTAACAATACTTGTGTTATTGAAGCACTTGAAAATACAGCCAATTGGACGCCCTACATGGGTCGTAAACGAGAATAAAATTAGTCAACCAAAGCCCTCGGCAGAAAGACTGTTAAAAGTAATCACGCATGTAATTAATGGCTCTGATTGACTGTATTCATCAGCTGCCATTTCAAACCGCTTATTTACACACTTCCTTTATAATAATAATAATAATCATAGTAATAATATAACTTGGCATTGTGAAGATGGGATAGCAAGTGATCCAAAACTTAATAATAATAAAATTTGCATTTTATTCAGATTGATATAGATATACAAGATACAAATCTAGCAATTTATTACTCACCTAATGAGAATAGAAACAAGTACTCCATGGTTCCTTACATTTTCACTTGCTGATCTTGATTAAACCTAAAATTAATTTTTTTAAAAAATCAAATACATGCTTGGTGTTTTCTGTAAATGTTAATGACTGGTACCTTACTTAATCAAACTTAATGAATGATGCTTGACATAATTACAGTTTTCTTTGGCCAGAATGAGTCACAGAGGAATAACATGTCTCATGACTTCTGAGAGCATTTACACAGGCCTTATCTCGTTACTAAACATTTTGACACTTTGTCCACAAGCACAGTCATACAAAATCAACAAAACGAAGCTTTCGCATCCAAGAAGCTAGCAATTATTTCTGTTGTTATAAGTACTATTGCTGATAAAGGATGAGTTCAGTGTTTTACACGGTTGAAGACAATAAACCAAAAGCCGATAAGCTAAGTAGAAAATACAATAATGAGATGTTCACCGTTACGAAGTTTTGGAAATTGGTTCAATCACACGCATATCAGCTAACTTAAAGCTGGCACTACACAGCTATAAACTATTAAACTATTATTATATTTGTGAAAATATTTTCAAATGATGATGACAATGTAAATTGTTGAAACGTTGTGTACAATAACAATCAGGAGCAGTATACCATGAAATTGTGTTCCGTTATTTAACGTGAACTGTACCCCTAACTCTCGCTTAAAGATAAGGTATAAACTAGTTGACGGGAAAGAACAAGATATTCCAATAATTTATACTAGAGTCAAGTTAGCTACATCCGCTACGATTGACTCTACTGTAAGATTGAGAAAAATAATCGGTTAAGAAACGCCAACTATACTAATCCTACAAGTTAAGATTCCACGGATATTAAGACAAAACAACAGCATGCTCATTATTGGTGTTTCGTGAGAAAACGAATGTCAAAATCCGGTAAAGGATTAGTCGTCTTAACATCCACTAAATGTTATGGTATACTACATCTCGATACCTACACAACGTTTAAGCAATCTACAATGTCATCATCAGTTGAATGTTGAAACGTTGTGTACAATGAAACTGGATAGAATGCCATAAAATTGTGTCGCGTTATTTAATGTGATCTCTGCCCTTGATGTCGCTTAAGGATTTATAGCAAGATAGTTACGATCCGATATAAAATCTTGTCTGCCATACAAAATATAAGACAGGACGATGAATAATACATATCCCGACATCTAGGATCTCACGTTTTATTGAGATAGAATAGATGATAGATGTACAATTTAGAAGCGAAGTCATTATATATCCATTAAAACAAAATTGATAAAATTGGGTTAATGTACGTAAAATTAAACGACAAGGATCAAACCAACTTCAGAATGTCAAGATATTACGAACCTTGACGGCAATAGCCAATATTCTTCAACGACTTGATTGGATTGTACGCCAGCGAATACAGTCAATCAGAGCCCCCTATAGAAAGGCTATTGCAGGCGAAGATAGTAATAACTTGACATTTTGAAGATGGGATCAAATGCACATTCGTATATGTTATCATTCGATACCCAAGAAATAAACCGAAGTGACATACATTTCTGTCTAATGAATGGATTCCACAAAAATTAACTAAAACAAACTCTTCCTTTTGCTAAATATATGCATACTTTTAGCCTTTGTTTATAGCACTCAATGAAGCTACTGAATCATAATATTTGCCTCTTCACTTACTTGTTTTCTTTGTCTCATCTTTGACAGTGATATCCGTTTTTGATAATGGTTATATGCTAGATATAGGTGTGTTGGTATAGCTTCACAAATACACCCTAAATAAACAGTCATGGCTGATTAAAGCCTTATTATGTTTTTATGTAACTTGAAACCTTTCCCAAACTGATCCCAAACCTATCAAGTATGAACAATTAAATAATAAGATTAAACTTAGCTTTGTAAACAAGAACATATTTAAATAAATGAGACAATTTATGGATAGATAATTTTGGAATATTTATTACTTCAACGTTTCAATGTGGTTCTCACACCGTCATCGGGAATGTAATAATGGGTACAAACAATAAGTAACAAGTATATATGTAGGTAACAATAACAATAGAAACAACAACAAAGGCAAAAGAGAAGACATGTAAGTGAGCAGTTAATTAGGGATGATCAAAGGTAATTACACGGATAAAGATAGGTAAGGTTTAGAAGCCACTACTGGGTAGAAGATGAAAGTAACATAAGGAGAGTTCAAAGGGTTAATTATAACAACAGGGTGTCCCAAATTCTTGGTAGTTGATATCCTTGGTCCCAATTCAGTTCAGGTTGTAGTTTCTTAATCATGATGCTTTCATGGTATTTACGGGTAGCGTCATCAGGGAGGTTGGTGAGAATGGCTTCTGATTGGTTCCATTGGATAATATGGTTTGGATTCTCGATCAGATGCTGGCTTAAGACTGATTTCCCATTAACCATGTTGCAAGAGGTCTTATGTTGTCTTACTCTCATTTTTAGTGGTTGTATACTTTCACCTACATAAGCTGCACCACAATTGCTCTCGATCTGGTAGACAATATCCTTTTGCATATCTTTGTTGGTTGTTGTGGATTCAGTTCTGCAATTGGCCTTTAACAGAGATTTGAGACTGGATATAGTTGAGAATTTAATTGGAATGTTGGTGGCTCTTATGATTGTTCTGTTAATTCGGTAACTCGTAGGTCCTATAAAGGGAATGGTCATGTTGATGGGTGGCTGGTCAGGTTTTTGTGATGGTTTGAGTGGGTTGGTTCATATGGTTGATGGTGTCTGATACTGTTTGTACCCATTATTATATTCCTGATGACGGTGTGAGAAAAAGCACAATGATGATAAAAACAATAGTACACTCCAATCGGAAGAACCCTATCACATACCTTTCTTTTCAAAGCTCATCCTTTATATAATACACTAACTACAGCAGGTAACAATCTTATGTCTAGTTGGTGAAGCCGAGTAGCCACTAGAAAGTAACACCCCTTCAGTGGAGATAGTGTACTGGGTGTCTATACTATGTAAATATGAGATCCCCTAACAGATACCATATCTGAGTGCCACAAAAAAAAAATGTGAGAACCACATTGAAACGTTGAAGTAATAAATATTCTAGAAGTATCTTTCCATTAATTGTCTCATTTATCTATAACCTGTGCTTCTAATATGCCTTTGAAAGATTAAGAAAAACATTGCTCTTTTATTGCAGTTTTACATTTTATATGTATATATATATTTAAGGTGCAGAAAAGTAGGACGTCATACTCCACTCTTATACATTCTTTTCAAAAATTTTAATTTAATTTTTATTTTCTATATTTCATTTCATGTTTAGTAATTTTCATTTTTTCTGTTTTTCTGTTCTTGATTTATTTTGATTGCCAGTCAGATATCAAATAAAATGCATGTCAGAAGTTTGAAATGTGAGCTTCATCTACAGATTGTCCAAATCATATTCACGGATTCCCAGAATGTTTCACTTTTCTTCCCTTTTTCCTTTTTTCTTGTTTTCAAATAACCGTGACTCTATCTATATGCTTCGTCAGATGATATTAATGCTGGTTGTCTAGGAGAAACCCCGACTCTATCTATAGGCTCCGTCAAATGATATTAATGGTTGGACATCTATGAGAAACCCTGACTCTATCTATAGGCTCCGTCAAATGATATTGGTGGTTAGTGTCTATGAGAAACCCTGACTCTATCTATAGGCTCCATCAAATGATATTAATGGTTGGATATCTAGGAGAAACCCTGACTCTATCTATAGGCTCCGTCAGATGATATTAATGGTTGGACATCTAGGAGAAACCCCGACTCTATCTATAGGTTCCGTCAAATGATATTAATGGTTGGACATCTAGGAGAAACCCTGACTCTATCTATAGGCTCCGTCAAATGATATTAATGGTTGGACATCTAGGAGAAACCCCGACTCTATCTATAGGCTCCGTCAAATGATATTGGTGGTTAGTGTCTATGAGAAACCCTGACTCTATCTATAGGCTCCGTCAAATGATATTAATGGTTGGACATCTAGGAGAAACCCTGACTCTATCTATAGGTTCTGTCAGATGATATTGGTGGTTGGACATCTAGGAGAAGCCCTGACTCTATCTTTAGGCTCCGTCAGATGATATTGATGGCTGGTTGTCAAGGAGAAACCCCGACTCTATCTATATACTCCGTCAAATGATATTAATGGTTGGACATCTAGGAGAAACCCTGACTCTATCTATAGGTTCTGTCAGATGATATTGATGGTTGAAAATCTAGGAAAAACCCTGACTCTATCTATAGTTTCTGTCAAATGATATTGATGGTTCGACATCTAGGAGAAACCCTGACTCTATCTATAGGTTCTGTCATATGATATTAATGGTTGGACATCTAGGAGAAACCCTGACTCTATCTATAGGTTCTGTCAGATGATATTGATGGTTGGACATCTAGGAGAAACCCCGACTCTATCTATAGGTTCTGTCAGATGATATTGATGGTTGGACATCTAGGAGAAACCCTGACTCTATCTATAGGCTCCGTCAGATGATATTGATGGTTGGTCGTCTAGGAGAAATCCTGACTCTATCTATAGGTTCTGTCAGATGATATTGATGGTTGGACGTCTAGGAGAAATCCTGACTCTATCTATAGGCTCCGTCAGATGATATTGATGGTTGGTCGTCTAGGAGAAATCCTGACTCTATCTATAGGTTCTGTCAGATGATATTGATGGTTGGACGTCTAGGAGAAATCCTGACTCTATCTATAGGCTCCGTCAGATGATATTGATGGCTGGACATCTAGGAGAAACCCCGACTCTATCTATAGGCTCTGTCAGATCATATTGATGGTTGGACGTCTAGGAGAAACCCTGACTCTATCTATAGGCTCCGTCAGATGATATTGATGGTTGGTCGTCTAGGAGAAACCCTGACTCTATCTATAGGTTCCGTCAGATGATATTGATGGCTGGACATCTAGGAGAAACCCTGACTCTATCTATAGGCTCCGTCAGATGATATTGATGGCTGGA